TGAATGAGGGAGACACACCCAAATTCCAATAAATGTGACACATTGGGCAAGCTTTGGTCTTCCCCCCTTCACATGAGATGAGTGATATGATTAGTGAAGTAATCCCAATCTGTGAGGCTGAAAAAAATCATCCAAACATACCTTCTTTCCAATTCACAGACACTGGGGATCCGTTATATTTTCAGAGATTAAAAGGTTGGGAACTCCTGGACTCCATCAGAGATTCTCAGTAGGTTTTAAGGGATTTATACCTGAGATGGTGGCATGGCCAGAGCTCTGACAAATCACAACCATATACATGTCATTTTTCAATGAGGCTAGATGGTCACCAAGTCTCCTACAGATCTATGATTCTGTGATTCTGATCATGCAGACTTCCATATACTGATGTTGTGCTCACAGAGGTATGCTATTGGGGTCACCTCTCATAAGGAAGATGGGTTTGCTGCATGTTCTCTGAATGGCTTAAAATGTTGCAGCCTGTATATGCAAAACATCAGCAAGGTTACATCCCCCCAACCCATCCATAAAGAATCTACTGAAAACTCCCTAAGAGGCCAAGACAGTGATTGCTATAATTTTGCATGTTTTTCAGTGCCTCATTCAGCAACCTTGTAAAAATGCTTTGCATGGATAAATGGACCACTTAAAGATTGAAGCAAGTCTTAACTAACTAACCTAACCAAAAAATAGGGTTACAAAGTCTGAAAACTCCTTAGTAAGCTCAGAAAGTTTATCGATTGAAGTGAACCTTAAGTTGGTACTAAATGGTGGGTAAGAGAGAACAAAAACTGATTTAAGTAGGGTGTTTGTCATACAAAATAAAAATTGAGAAGTCACGGAAAATGAATCAAACGTAGAAAATATGCACGCTAAATTAGAGAGCTGGGTTAATGAATGAAGATAGCCAGTTCAGGCCTACACATACAATATGAAATTGAAAGTGTAGCTCTCTGTACTTTAAGTCAAAGAGATTTCATCAAATTCTGCACTATGAGCTAATCATAATTAGAAAAAACATTGCCTTTAGAAAAAGTAAGCACATCAATCAATTACAGAGGGGGAAAATTACTGGAGTGTCCAATTAAGAAAGATCCTAGGTTAATGGCTGGGAGTTAAGAGGCCTATATAAATACATGCAAAATTCTGAATACATGCATTTTTAGGACAAGGGAGCCATTGCTTTCTTTAGATTCTTAATGAGATGATGGTCCCAAACTGGTTAAGACCACACAGATTTAAGTAAAAATCCAAAGTCTTTTGAATACCCATTTGTCAGAATTTAAGAAAAGAACAACTTTGTAAATGTAAACTGCTACCACAGAAATGGTACTGCTTTTACTTTTGGCTACTTTTCTAGGGCTGTGTATAACTTATAGTACTCAGTGCAAAGCATGGAAATATCACAAAGTATAACAAATGAGAGAAAAAAGGTTTTGATTTGACAAATAAAACTCAAACTGTACCAAGTTGCATATAGAGAAGTAGGTGTTTCATACGACCAAAGTAACATTTAAGGGACAATTAACATTCAAAATCAATAGTAATTAAGGACCTACTGTAGAGCACAGGGAACTCTACTCAATACTCTGTAATGACCTATGTGGGAAAATAATCTAAAAAAGAGTGGATATATGTATAACTGATTCACTTTGATGCACAGAAGAAACTAACGCAACATTGTAAATCAACTATATTCCAATAAAAATTTAAAACAAAACCCAAAAAAGTCAGTAGTAAACAACTGTTTCCCCCGCACGCTGCTCCTGAGGTGGGGCCAGTAGGCCAAACTGATAGTACAATATTGCCCCCTACTGAACTGTACTAGTAAAGATAAATCTAGAAGAACAGGACTTTAAAGTGCTTACTTTTAAAAGGACCTACTTGGAATGCTCTTTTCCCATCAATACCAGGTTAGCCTAATATTAGCATAAGTCTGGGTTATTCACTCTATGGTAATTTTAGTGTGGCAATTATGTAATGTGGTGTAGGAGTTTAGAGGAATCAATCATGAATATAAGGTAACATTTAAAAATTACTATAATAAATATTTTTCTTAAAACTATATAGGATCTTGAAGTTTGTAAAGGCTGAACAAAGTCTCTAGTCTAACCAACTATAGGTTCACAACTTCCTTATATATATATCTCTGCCAAGTAGTTGCCCAGCCTTGGCTTAAACATTCTGGTGACAGAAAACTCACCATTCCTGAAAACAGTCTATCCTGTTTTGGATAATCCTCCTTACAGCTGAAAATTACTCTCTCTCCAGGAGAAAACCCCTCAAATATTTAAGCAGGGCAAATTTGTCCCACTAAATCATCTATTCTCCAAATTAAATAACCCAAGTTCCTTTGGCAGCAGCTCCTGTGACCAGGGTTCAGATGTCTCCAACATTCTAAATGCACTCATCTAAATGTGTTTGTTTCTATTGTTGCTATAACAAATTCCCACAAATTTAGTGGTTTAAAACACAAATTTATTATCTTACAGTTCTTTAGGTCAGAAGCCTGACACTGGTCTCACTGGGTCAATAGGGCCATATTCTTCTCTGGAGGCTCTAGGCTAGGAGGACCTGTTTCTTTGCCTTTTCTAGCTTTCAGATTCCACTCATTTTCCTGGGCTCATGGCTCCCTCCCACTATCTTCAAAGTGAGCAACACTGCATCTCTCTGACCATTCTTCCACAATCACCTTTTTCTCTTACCATCACCTCAGCCAGGAAGGGTACTTTTAAGGACTCACATGATTAGGTTGAGCCCACCTAGATAATTAAGGATAATCTCTGTATCTCAACATCCTTAACCTTAATTACTTCAGCCAAGTCCCTTTTTTAAAAATGCAAAATAACATATTCACAAGTTTGGGGGACTACTACAAAATGCCTTCCCATTTGTATTTGCTCCTCCTAAAGTAGAACATTCCATCTGACTATGGTACTCTAGGAATGGCCAGCACTGAGTAAAAAAGGATTGTCACCTTCATCTTTTCAGATACTATACTTCTAATATCTGGATGAAAATCAAAAGAACTTATCTAATCACACCCATAATTCTCATTGGGCTACTAACTAAAACTCCTAAGCCATCGCTATAAACACAACTCTTTTTTTTTTAATTTTTATTGGACTATAGTTGATTTACAACGTTGTGTTAGTTTCAGGTGTACAGCAAAGTGAATCAGTTATACATATACATACATCCACTCTTTTTTAGATTCTTTTCCCATATAGGCCATTACAGAGTATTGAGTAGAGTTTCCTATGCTATACCGTAGGTCCTTATTAATTATCTATTTTATATATAGTAGTGTGTATATGTCAATCCCAATCTTCCAATTAAACATAGCTCAAGCCACTCCTGCCTCATCCTTTACTTGGCAGTTGTTTTTCTAAACCCAAGTATAAGAACGTAGGTTTAAGGACTTCCTTAGTGACGCAGTGGTTAAGAATCTGCCTGCCAATGCAGGGTACGTGGGTTCGAGCCCTGGTCCGGGAATATCCAACATGCCGTGGAACAACTAAGCCCGTGAGCCACAACTACTGAGCCCACGCTCTAGAGCCTGCGAGCCACAACTACTGAAGCCGGCGTGCCTAGAGCCTGTGCTCCACAACAAGAGAAGCCACCGCAATGAGAAGCCCACGCACCGCAACGAAGAGTAGCCCCTGCTCACCGCAACTAGAGAAAGCCTGCTCGCAGCAACGAAGACCCAACGCAGCCAAAAATAAATAAACAAAAGCAAGAAGAGTTTATGTAGAATAATTCTATTTTTTAAAACAGCATCTTCTATTTCTAATATGGAATATAAATACTTCATAAGTATTCAACAAATATTAAGTTAATATTGTTAAAATCATCGCATGTGGTAAAAATGGACAATACAAATTTTAACGTAAAAATATAAACTTTGAGATGAAGATTGGTAGTAAGATATATAACCACACTTAGAAAATATATTTCTTTTCCTATTTTTGTTACTCAAACACTGAAAGCTTTTGTGAGTCACTTAGCTTTTGGAAGTCTGTTTTTCTCCACCAAAATTGGACCCTGGAGATGACCTATCTGTGAGAAATGCACTGATGATTGACTAGAAAATGACTTTAAGTGTTTATAAACCTCAGTATTATCATTATCACTGCCTTTACTCTTCCATTTGCTCCATTATCTTGTCATCAACAGAGATACTACTTAAAATCACTCTACTCTTTTTCACTTCCCAGCTCTTCTCTATCACTTATCCAGCCTCAACAAGTCTTAAGTCAATCTTTAGCCTTTTAGGGACTAATAAACATATTCACCCAAAGAAAATGATGGTATAAGATGTAAGGTGATGCTTTGGGATTCTTAGGGAAAATATACCTCATACATATAAATGGATGTGTTTACAGCTCATTATAATTTGAGATTACAGAGGCCATTCTCTCTATACTACATTTAACAGTATTAACAAAGATAGTTTTGTGTTTTCACATGAGTTTCTACACACAGGAACATTACAATAATGACTACTATTATTTTTTTCACTTACCAAAAGAAAAAAGTTAAAATAAATATGAGGCTATTTCTCTCCCTTTTTCCATTGACTAAAAGAGGTGCCGTCTTTTTATATTTTACTCTGGAAAAGAGAAGGCTCATCAAAATTAAAATGATCTTATCCTAGGACCATTATAAAACACATACATCTGCACCAAAAGATCTCTGAAGTCCTGGTCAAATATCTTTCTCTGACCAACATACCGCTCAATGAATGTTGCTACTGAATTAGGACCCTTTAAAAAGATGGCAGTACTGTGATGAATAAACTAACTTGAACCAATAATTCCTTTTCTCATCCATTCACTCAACATCATTAAGCAACTATAATAATGTAATGCTTTCAGTCATTCAATAAATTCATAAAATGTGAAAATATAATATGGGAAGGAATATTTATACTTTCCTATTTTTTTAGAAATTTTTATTGTGTACTTCACATATAGTTTTATGTATGTAAATGACCTTACCTCTCTTACAGATAGCTGTGGTGGGAAGGAGATTGACAATACCAAGTTGGTGAATTCAAACCCAGAGGCCTCAACCTTTTGGCACACCTAAAAAAGTATTACATAAAAAGTATTTTTTATTACATAAAAAAGTATTATATAAATTCCCAGGAATTGCTGAAATTTTTACACTAATCTTCATAACATGAATTTTTGGTCCAGGAGATGACACTGCAAAACTTCTAAACTTTTACCTTTGAGTAGGAAACTCTCACAAACATCCTGAAATCAAATATTTGCCAACTATGACCCTGAGGACTGATATCACAAGGTGCCAAAAGAGCCAGTACTCACCTGCAGAACAACCTGTTGAATGTCAAAATACTTTTCTATTAAGTCACCTGGTAATTCAGAAAAGATTTTAAACAAAATAAAGCCAAATAGGCACTCTTGATACCTGGAAACAAAAAGCAATCCCACCTTCAATCATGTACCTTCCTCAAAGCTGTAACACTAGTCTTTTCTAGACACTAAAAGGTATGACTAAAGTAGAACTTTTCTCTAACTCCTTAGCTATGTTAAACAGCAAAGGGAAAACTGCTACATTTTTGTTCAATTGAACAGCACTCATAACTGAAATACATGGATACACATTTCATTAATTTTCAGACATGTTGATAAAAAGGTAATTTGAGAATAGTAGGCTTTTTAAAAAAAAATTAAGAAAACTTTCTAATGATCCATTTGTGTAAAACAAGTTGAAACGAATGGCATTGTTCCTTTGGATACAAGAATTCTAGGCCTTAGAACTGAAAATCTTTACGAATCGCACATTAATAAAAAAAACTGTTTACCTTTTTAATGAACTCTTTTTCACAGAAATCTTGAAGAATTCCTAGGCATACATTGCATACATTTAAATTTGAGTTCTTGGAAGCAATGCTTCCATCTTCAATAATCGAGATCTTTCCCTCTCCATTTTGACTCAGATTATCCATCCCATCAATCCCATCTTCTAGTTCTTGTAGTCGAATTTTCTTGGGAGGGGGGTTTGGAACTTCTGAAATTAATTCATCTTTTTCAGTTTCCAGAAATTTTTGCAGTTCATTGAGCAACTCCTGGAAAGTTAATTAAAAAAAAAAAAAAGTAATGACCCTTTGACAATGTCCTTAAGGGTAAAATGAAGCGTGAAAATTATGATATATCACAGACTTATACAATGCTGACTTATATCAGTTCTGGAGCAGTTAGTTTTATTAGCCAACACTGGCTTTCAGGAGAATTTAAAAGAGAATACCTAATTCCTATAATATATGTGTGAATATTTTTTCAAAAGAGTTTCATACATCAGTGAAGCTAAAATCCTAAATCTGAGATGGAAAGGCTCCATTAACAAATTTATTAATTTGGCCTGAGTTCTGTTGTGAGGGTCATTCACCTGCTAATTTCAGCAAAACAAACAAACAAAAACAAAAAAACCCAACTTCAATTCAAATTATTAGCAAATAGAAATGCAAACTGAATTTCCATCTATGGTAGGTTATTTAATAATCTCACAACCACTAAAACTTAATATGTACAATATTTAATATGAAATATGAAAAATTACATAGATTAGAAGTCTATTAAGTAAAAATAATTTCTAGTCAATTTACTAAACAAAGGCAAACAATGCTGGCAATGCTGAAATTTGGCATCATAATTACAAACCATTTACAGGCACTAACTGGAAAAAGCCCTCTACTACATTCTGGTTTGCCTAATTTCTGTCACTCTTTGTATTGGAATGTAAAAAGTGGCATTCCTTTCAAACCACTATCATATTTCAGACATTCCACTCATCTAAATACTCAGAGGACTCTTCTTCTGTTTTGTCTAAATTGGGCAGGTTTTATTATTCAGTTGTTGAATAAATATCCTTTTGAAATTCACTCATATTACAATTTACTGACTCTAAAGGGAAAAATCTTTCACTCAAACAAATTTAATTCATTTTATTAAGACATGAGCTCTCCTATTAAATCTTTAACAGAGAAATACATACTCATACACATATACACATACAGGCATATTATGGCCCACACAAATATGTTTATTATTACCTAAGACCTATAAGTCAATATAACATCGTACAGATACATGCATGTGTACATATATATGAATAGAAAATATCAAAATATATTTACCCAGAAAAGTCCAGATATTTTCATGTTTATTTACATAAAATGATACAAAAGTTGGTAACACTAAGTTCTTTCTATAATATATATTTTAAAACTTACAACATATGTATAAAATAATAGATTATAAATGTGTCTGAAAAAATTGTAAGGCAAGTTACACAAACTCAATCTTATCACTTCATAGTCATTATGCGTATAAAGAAATATAGATGTATATATTAATCATCATAGCATATGTACCATTTCCAGTTTTCAAAGTGTTTTCACATACTTTATTAGATATTGTCCCTTAAAATCCTGTGAGGTGGATGTTATCATCACGCCCATTTACAGAGAAGAAAACTGAAGCTGGAAAGTGGTGAAACTGGGATTCAAATCCATGTCTTCTAGCTCCAAATTCTAGGCTTTGGATTCGGACAGACAGTTCATATCCTAGCTTGCTCACTTAATAGCTGTGTAACTTTGGGCAGGTTGCTTAACCTCTCTGTGCCTCAGTTTCTTCATCTGAAAATAGAGACAATCATAGTATGTACTTACCTAATAGGTTATTGTGAGGATTATATGAGAGCTTGACATATAATAATGCTATATGAATATTGGATATAATTATTTCCAAAATAATAGAAACTAATACATAGGAGAAATGATTGCCATTGCTACCTCCTGGGCAATTTTTTTTAATTATAGGAAGCTGAATGTGTGTGTGTGTGTGTGTGTGTGTGTGTGTGTGTGTGTGTGCATGTGTGTGTGTGTGGTATATTCATACTGTTTATAAGTACATATTTACACATATGTATATAATTACTATCTGCCTCTGAAAAGAACATCACTGTTAGAATAAAATATATTTCACAAAATGTTATATATTTTATATGAAATTTCTATTAAATGTCAAAGCTCTCTGTATATTACCATAAATGTCAAAGACCTCAGTATATTACTTTTGCTGTTAATAGTGGTAAATGATAATAAGCATTTACTTCTAGAGAGTTGCAAACACCTATTTGTAAATACAAGTGGTAATACAGAAAACAGAAAAAGAAAAAAGGCAACCAAACCCACCATGCTTCCACCCCCCCCATTACATTTTACTAATATCTGGTAAGATGCACTATTTTGTGATATTCTGTTTAGATATTCTTTAGGAAAGATCTATGCAAACATTAAATGCACCAGTGAATTGCTTCACAAAGACCTCACTACATTAAATGTTAAATATAATCACTTAAGAAGGAACTTACATTTATATGGTAATGGCAATTCCAAAATTACCATTATCGGTAACTACTTTATTATAGTTTTTTAAAAAATTTAATGAAGAGTTATGAACAGATACCTGCCCTCAAATACACAGGTATTGATTTAAGACCCTTTCTTAACGTAAAAAAGAAAGAAAGGAAGGAAGGAAGGAAGGAAGGAAGAAAAAGAAAGAAAGAAAGAAAGAGAGAGAGAGAGAGAGAGAAAGAAAGAAAGAAAATACCCTTACCTTGTAGGGAAGTTTGTATGGTGCATGAAAATCCACACCACAGAATCTGAAGATACATCTTGGACAGGTACCAGTACTGAGCAACAACTGGGCCACATGCTTGTTTTCCACAGTCAGTGGAAACATATTAAATAACTACAACTAGAAAAAAAGAAAAAGTAAAACTAATGAGCACCTTTTGTGTTTTACTTTCACAGACAAATATACGGTGACCTTTAAGGATAAAAATCTTTAAAGATAAAACATTTATATTTGAAAATCACTATTTGGTATTCTCCAATAATGTCCCTTTCATTATATCCATATTGAAACAAAAACTTGAAGGCAATTTATTAGATGGATCAGGTAAAAGTTTCTAATTGTCAAGGACTTTAACATTCTGGATTATGATAAAGTGCATCAACATAACTAAATCAATCAAAAGAAATAAAAACTAATAAAAAATGGCTGTCTCTAAGGAGGGTAATGAAAACAAGAATACAGAGTGTAATTTTGCTTTTTATTTTGTACCATTCAGTATTGTTTGAGAACACAGAGCTGTAAATTCAATAAACTTTCCTGTTAGAAATAAGAAATTAGTTTGCTAGAAAAAATAATCAGATCAGTCTACGTTATGTAATACTTGACTGCCCTTAATGATAGTTAAGCAGTCAAGTATTCAAAGCAAACTGATAAGATTCAAAAACATCAATTTTACTTTGATGAAATAATAACTAAATAAAAACCAGCTATTAGCAAAATGAGAAAAATCTTCCTTTCATACACAAGTAAAAACTCCAACAAATTAAGTGCAAAATATTTTAGAGTAATTATTATCTAAAACAATTTGCCACTTTTTTGCAATTTGAACAAACTCACTTGGAAGTAAATACGACATAGAGAATGGGTTCTTGTTGCCAGAAAGGAGGGAGGTAATGAAAATTAAATTACGTAGTCATTCTGTTTGGAGGGAAAAAAAGGTCTTCTGATTAATGAATCAGCTCACATTACTTTAAAATGAGGAACTAGTGATATTTTATAAAACTATGATTGCATGGTAATGGTACTGAGGTCATAGAGATAAAAGATTGTGGCACCTTTAATTTGTTCATTTTCATAATTCAAATGAACTTAATATTTGTGGAGGGTGAAGCTCTTACCAACTGCTTACTATAAAGATGTGACTCTTAGAATTAGTTTGTGTTTTCTAACCCTTTAAAACCCACTACTTAAAGTTTCTAAATGTTTGTGGCCACTTATCAAGAATAGATCCTTGACAGAAAATAGATAGTACTATGGAACTCTTCACCATAAAAATAAGGTCAGCAAGCAGGACTACAAAAACCAGATTGCCTGTGGCTGGGTTCTAATTCAGGTACCAGAATATGTGAGTTGTCAGGGAGGGGAAGGGAAGAAAACCAAGCTTCTCTGGACACACCAGTGAGAACTTTCAGACACCCAGATTGGGAAACACTGATTTAGGATTGCCTAAGTAAATCTGAGCTCCAGAAAGTACAGAATATGTAAAGAACACCCTCTGCATAATGAAGCTCTGTGTGATCACTGTTATTTACAAACGATCTGAATCCCTTCCCCCAGCTCATTTAATCTAATAGTTTGATGCTGATAAGGGGTTGGGATTCTTTGAGGAGCTAATTATCAGCATTTAAAGTGTATCCCAACTGCATTCCCCTCACAGAGAAACTGTTTCTATTTCGTCCTTTTTTTCTCCGCCTTTTCATTAGCTAAAGTCAAGGATTTCATTTAATTGAGAATTAACCTTTAACTCAGAAAGAGAAACAAATAAACCCTCCTGTCCAATAAATAAATCCAGGAATGAGTGCTTAAGATGGGCACTTTGTATCAAAGATTTCCCAGGAGACTTAAGTTAAATAGTTGTATTAAAATGTATGCTTTTCCCCCCCTTTGGCTTAAAGACAATGTTTGTTTCTCCAGTAGGTTCACTAGAACAAAGGTATCACACTAGTCAATAAATGACACATTATACTCTCTTGGCTCTAAAGTTTCCAAACCCGTTCAGAATTAGGAAATCTCAGAATTAGGTTCACTAGAACAAAGGTATCACGCTAGTCAATAAACGACACATTATACTCTCTTGGCTCTAAAGTTTCCAAACGCGTTCAGAATTAGGAAATCTCAGAATTAGGTTCACTAGAACAAAGGTATCACGCTAGTCAATAAATGACACATTATACTCTCTTGGCTCTAAAGTTTCCAAACCCGTTCAGAATTAGGAAATCTCCTGTCTTGAGTAATTTGAAGAGGTCTTAAAAGAGCAAAACAAAACCCTCTCCCGTAATTACGTTAGTAATCAAATGGCCTTACAAATTTCTCAAGATCATTTTCACCCAGCAACAATCTAGCGACTTCCCAAGCGCGTTAACATTAGGAAAAAATACGTTCTTAAATTTGGTTGTTTCATCTTGATGTACAGCGCTGAAATGCCAGGATTTCATAAGACATCAGAAATCAGTTGTTCCATATTAGATTTATTAACTTTGAAACCAAGCCCGTACTGTAAGGTTTTCATTGTCGGATGCCTTTAAGATGTTTGCTTTTCATTTACATGTTTACTTTACCCAAAGAACTGGAACATATCATTGCAACAGAACCTCTTCCCAGGTGTCAGGATCCTACGGCGATCCAGTCCCTGCTCCACAAATGAATGGTAACTAGCCCCGTCTCTGGTTTACTAGAGAAGATGGTTTTTCTTTTCACTTCTCGGACGATTACAGAAACTATTTATTACAAACAGGCCAGGAGCAGGCAAAAAAAACAGGCTGAGTCTCACATCCCGGGATATTTTAAAACTCATTTTCATACAAAAGAGTGTCATTCGTCTTGTGGGGTGGGGGTGGGGTGTGGATTTTTAAAGAAAGGCGCTCGTAACTTCATCCCGCTACCGATACACTAAGCAGTGGAATCTACTCTAGATTTCTGGAAAGTTCAACACCAGGTCTAACCTCCAGTCTTTCCTTTGGCTAACCAAGGAAGCCCTTCTCACCTTCAGTCGGGTCCCCAAACACTTCCCACTCACCCCTCCTTGCTAACAAAGCCTCTCCCACAGGAAGGAAACGATCCCCTCCATCCACACCTCTCCGGCACGCAGTCCTCACCCCCTCTCCTCAGACCTCCCTTGCCTCACCTTCTCCCACGGCGCCGGAGCCAGAGATTTAACCCCTTCCAGCCCTCAGAGGGAACGGGGAAGACTAAAGACAACGCACCTATTGCGTCTAGCAATTCTGTTCCCCGAGGAAACGAGAGCTATAGAACAAAAAGTACCAGCTCCCTCACGCGAGGACTGAGTGAATTCTCCTCTGCTTGTTTGCAGGGAAACCAGTCAAGATGCCTGGCCGGCCGCCACACACCCTGCCTGCCCCGCGGGTGGAGGAGTGGTGTGTGGGGCATTACTCCCGGCCGGGTGCAGGACTTGTCCTAGGGAAGCCTCTGTGGGACTCTGACGTCTAGGATATTATAGCCGCCACCAGAAATATCGATGAGCTCTTACCCTCTGTTTAGAATGGAAGTTCTTTCCAAGGCAAATAAAAAGAGAGCGTTTCTTCCCATAGGTTAGTGGCATCCTCCTAGGCTGTAATACCAGCCAGCAAAGCACCACAAACCACATCCTGACTGCAGGGGAGGGCCGGGTGGAGGGCTCTGCACTCTGCATGTTGTGCCTGGCGCTCAAGCGGCTGGTGTCCTCGGGCCTGTAGAGTCCCAGCGCAGAGCGGGATCTGAGAGGAGGCGGAGATGGCGTCTCAGCCGCCGCCTCCCCCGAAACCCTGGGAGACCCGCCGGATTCCGGGGGCCGGGCCGGGGTCAGGCCCTGGCCCCACTTTCCAGTGAGTGTGCGATTTTTCAGGCCGCGAGTTTTGTGGGCCATAGCGGGGACTCGGCAGGAGGCGGTTGAGGCCGTTGTTGGGTGTGAAGTGTCCCCTCCCCCTCTCAACCAGCCCCCCACCCACACCCCTAGTCTTAAGGGAGGTCAAGTCCTGCCGGGGCGCCTGCAAGGGGAATTTCGGTGTCAGACAGCTGTTTCTGACTCGGCGGCTCTCGGCAGCGACGTTTCCGTGGGGGTAGCGATAGTCCTGGGTTCCTGTCAGAGTGCCGGTGCTTGGAAGAAAGGGTCAGGTACCACCTGTCCCTTCTGTTTGGGGGACACCCTGACTGAACTGCACGACTCTCTTTCCCCCGCCACCCCCACCTTAAAGAGTTAAGACTTTCGGTCCGTAGCAGGTGAGAGAGGCATTTGCCCGGCCCCGGCTCGTCAGGGAGCAAAGTCTCTCGAAAGCTTTTAACCATCTCTCGACAAGTTGGTGAAAGCCCAAAAGGTCACTTTTACACAACTGGAACTCAAGCCTGTACAGTTTGCGTTCTTTTCCAGCATAACTCAGCAATGTTTCGGTTAAAGATTTGGAAAAGCAACAAGCGGGAGTTAAAAACTGAGGCCTACGAGTGGCCTTTGTGTGCTAGATAGTGTGTGATTTTTTTCTAAGGCCTGTGGTTTTTTGTTTGGTTTTAATCAGTGTTAGATGGATCTACAACTCAAGAAAGGTTAAAATAGAATAAAAGAGAAGAATTTCACAGCCTTGCGTGTTTTGTGTTGGGTGGATCTGGACATCTTTTTAAAAATTTTTTATATTGGAGCAGAGTTGATTAATAATGTTAGTGTGTTAATAGTGTTAGTTTCAGGTGTACAGCAAAGTGATTCAGTTATACACATACATGTATCTATTCTTTTTCAAATTCTTTTCCCATGTAGGTTATTACAGATTATTAAGCAGTGTTCCCTGTACTATACAGTAGGTCCTTGTTGGTTATCTATTTTAAATATAACAGTGTGTACATTGTCAATCCCAAACTCCCAATCTATCCCTTCCGCCCTTGTAATCATAAGTTCTGTTCTCTAAGTCTGTGGATCTGGACATCTTAATTCAGATGGTGAGACTCGAATGTCAGATTGCCTACGGTGGTAGGTTTACTTACATAGAAATCCCCAACATACTGGAATGTATTTCTGCTATGTTCTAAAATCTTGTAATGTTTTTTTAAGGTGTTTGAACACAGTTGCTACTTTATTTAATAATGAAGGTACATAAGTAGTAAGCTTTAATTATGCTATTAAGTTGGGATGACACTTTATGCTACTTTTTTAAAAATAAATTTATTTTATTATTTTTGGCTGCGTTGGGTCTTCGTTGCTGCGCACAGGCTTTCTCTAGTTGGCAGCGAGCAGGGGTTACTCTTCGTTGCAGTGGGTGGGCTTCTCATGGCAGTGGCTTCTCTTGTTGCGGAGCATGGGCTCAAGGCACATGGGCTTCAGTAGTTGTGGCTCGCGGGGCTCTAGAGCACAGGCTCAGTAGTTGTGGTGCACGGACTTAGTTGATCCTCAGCATGTGGGATCTTCCCAAATCAGGGCTCAAACCCGTGGCCCCTGCATTAGCAGGCAGATTAGCATTTTTTGCTAATCTAAAGGTAGCATCTGCTACCTTTTTTTATGAGTGGTTTGACCTTCTTTAAAAATTTGGACTGCTCTTTAGAAGAGAGACGTTTTATTTTTGCATCTGTTAAAGTTCTGTTTATGTAAAATTAACCATTTTCCCACTTTTTAAGAAAATGTGAAGTATTTTAAACACCTAGAGACTGGTAGAGAGTAAGATGATGAATACTTGTGTATTAGCTCCCAGCTTTAAGAAATATTAACATTTTACCAGATTCGCCTCAGATTTTTTAAAAAATAAAAATTAGAGCAACAGTTAAACCCTCCCATTCTTCTTTCCTACGGTAACTACTGTCCCTATTTGGTTTTTATTGTACACAATGTTTTTATACTTCAGTATTTAGCTTTGTATGTACATTACATATGTATATATGTATGTATTATTATTCAGTATATTTTTAGACTTTAAATATATTCGAACTGTATGTATCATTTGCAAAGTGTTTTTCCACTAAGTATTATTTATTTTGAGATTTATCTTGTTCATTCTTGTAACTGTACAGGCATACTTGGGAGGTATTGCAGGTTGGGTTCAGACCACCGCAGTAAATCAAATATCGCAATAAAGCGAATGAATATCGCAGTAAAGTGAATCACATAAGTTTTTTTGGTTTCCCAGTGCATATAAAAGTTATGTTTACACTCTACTGTAGTCTGTTAAGTGTGCAATAGCATTATGTCTAAAGAAACAATGTATATAACCTTAAAGATACTTCATTGCTAAAAAAATGCTAACCATCATCTGAGCCTTCAGCCAGTTGTAATCTTTTTTTGGTGGAGCGTCTTGCCTCGATGTTGACTCATTGGAGGTGGTTGCTGAAGGCTAGGGTGGTTGTGGCAGTTTCTTTAAATAAGACGACAATGAAGTTTGCCGCATTGGTTGAGTCTTCCTTTCTCGAACATTTCTCTGTAGCATGCAGTACTGTTTGATAGCATTTTACCCACAGTAGAACTTCTTTCAAAATTGGAGTAAATATTCTCAAACCCTGATGCTGCTTTATCAACTAAGTTTACATAGTAGTCTAAATCCCTTGTTGTCATTTCTACAATCTTCATATCTTCTTCACCAGGAGTGGATGCCATCTCAAGAAACCACTTTCTTTGCTTATCCATAAGAAGCAGCTCTTCATTTGTTAAAGTCTTATCATGAGATTACAGCAATTCAGTTACATCTTTAGGCTTCACTTTTATTTTTCGTTCTCTTGCTATTTCCACCACATCTGTAGTTACTTGCTTCACGGAAGTCTTGAACCCCTTTAAAGTCATCCATGAGGGTTGGAATCAACTTCTTCCAAACTCCTGTTAAAGTTGATATTTTGAACTCATCCCATGTATCACAGATGTTAATGGCATCTAAAATGGTGAATCCTTTTAGAAAGGGTTTCAATTTACTTTGCCCAAGTCCATCAGCGAAATCACTATCTATGGCAGCTATAGCCTTTTGAAATTTATTTCTTAGATAATAAGACTTAAAAGTCGAAATGACTCCTTGATCCATGTGTTAGCAGACATGAAAACAACATTAATCTCATTGTACACCTCCATCAGCTCTTGGGTGACCAGTTGCATTATCAGTGAGCAGTAATATTTTGAAAGGAATCTTTTCTTCTGAGCACTAGGTCTCAACAGTGGGCTTAAAATATTTAGTAAACCATATTGTAAACAGATGTGCTGTCATGCAGGCTTTGTTGTTCCACTGATAGAGCACAGGCAGAGTAGATTTAGCATAATTCTTAAGGGCCTTAGGATTTTCAGAATGGTAAATGAGCATTGGCTTCATCTTCAAGTTCCAGCTGCATTAGCCCCTAACAAGAGAGTCAGCTTGTCCTTTGAGGCTTTGAAGCCTGGCATTGCCTTCCCTCTAGCTATGAAAGCCCTAGGTGGCATCTTCTTCCCATAGAAGGCTATTTTGTCTGCATTGAAAATCTGTTGTTTAGCATAGCCACCTTCATTAATTATTTTAGCTAGATCTTCTAGATAACTTGCTGGAGCTTCTACACCAGCACTTGCAGCTTTACCTTGCACTCTTATGTTATGTAGATGGCTTCTTTCCTTAAACCTTGTGAAACAACCTCTGCTAGCTTCAGACTTTTCTTCTGCAGCTTCCTCACCTCTCAGCCTTCACAGAATTGAAAAGAGTTAGGGCCTTGCTCTGGATTAGGTTTTGGCTTAAGGGAATGTTAATGGCTGCTTTGATTTAGCTAGACCACTAAAACTTTCGTCATGTCAGCAATAAGGCTGTTTCACTTTATCAAGAGCATGTTCACTGGAGTAGCACTTTTAATATCCTTCAAGAACTTTTCCTTTGCATTCACAGCTTGGCTAACGGTTTGGTGCAAGAGGCCTAGCCTTTGGCCTATCCTGACTTTTGATATGCCTTCCTCTCTAAGCTTAATCATTTCTAGCTTTTGATTTAGAGGCGTGTGACTCTTCCTTTCACTTGAACACTTAGAGGCCATTGTAGGGTTATTAATTGGCCTAATTTCAACATTCTTATGTCTCAGGGAATAAGGGAATCTCGAGAAGAGAGAGAGAGACATGGGAGGAAAGGCTGGTCGCTGGAGCAGTCAGAACACACACATTTATTTTGACAGTTTGCTGTCTTATAGGGGCACAGTTCATGGTGTCCTAAAACAACTAGAATAGTAACATAAGAGATCACTGATCACCACAACAAATATAATAGTAATGAAAAAGTTTGAAATATTGTGAGAATTACCAGAATGCGACACAGAGACACGAAGTGAGCAAATGCTGTTCAAACAATGGTGCAGATAGATGGGCTTGACACAGGGTTGCAACAAGCCTTCAATTTGTAAAAAACACGATCTGCAAAGCACAGTAAAGCAAAGCATCATAAAATGAGGTATGCCTGTAGTTCGTTTTAACTGCTATAGGATATTCTGTTATATAAAAGCAAACTATTTGTTCTTTTATAGATATTAGAGTATTAGTTGTTAAATATTTAAAGCTACTGCAATCAACATTCTTGTGTCTTTCTCCTTGTGCACGTTTCCAAGAGGTTTTCTGGGAGGAGAGTTGCTTGTTGGAAGGGTATGCTTATCTTCAAATACTGACTATCACCAAGGTGCTCCTCGAAGTGGTCGTATACCAATCTTTACATTTTCACTAGCAAGGTATTCTGTTTCTCTACATTTTTTCCAACACTTGATGTTATTTTGTAGTACTGTATTTACCAATCTAATAGATGTGAAATGGTACTTAATTTGCACTTCTCTGATCAGTAATAAAATTGAGGATCTTTTTGAATGTTGATTTGAAATTTTTTCTGTTGGTAATCTTTTGCCCACTTTTATGTTGGCTTTATCTTTGCTTATCAAT